CGGATCAATAAATCAGCCATCAGTTAATCCACCATTGTCATCTTCACCAGTACAACCATCCTTAGTAAGTGGAGGAAGTCTACCCCCACCACTTCCAAAAAGTGGTCCGACGTTTGGAACGGTAACTGCACGAGGTTCTTCAGAAGAGTTGGTGCGACTTTGTGCCTTACCCTATTTTTTAATTCAGGTGATCTATGAGTATTTACGTAAATTCCCATTTATTCTTCTATTCAGGTGCAACCAACTCCAACACAGCCAGCTGTTGCTCCTACTGGCCCTGGATCTATTACTGGAGTGGCCGTAGCCAAACCCTTAGCTACACGTATACAAAATGAAATTCCTCGGACGCAGTCTGCCCCGCCGTTGCTTAATCTCCAAGATTCAACTAATGCTAAAAATGTAGGCCAACCACCAGGTCACCAAATGAATTCTGTAACGCCCCATACTCAACAACAGCTGTCAACGGCTACTCCTCTGCAATCAATTTCTACATCAAATCCTCCTCCTCATAATCGTAAAGACTCCGTTTCATCGACAGTATCTTCTAACGATGGTCAGCAACCCCCACCTTTTCATCCTCATCAACCTCAACCACACCATAATAACTACAATCAACAACACGCTCATCCGCAATATCACTCTCGACATATACATCAACATCACAAAGGGCCTCCACAAGTACCTAGTCATTTTCAACAAAAGAATAGAGACAGAAGCGTTCCTGGTACTATTCCGCCCTCATCACATTCAAATCCTCAAACAGTTCCTAATCAAGCTCAAACTCCAATTCCATTAACCGGACCACAAGCGGCAATTCCAGTTCCGATGTGGCAACAATATGGACATGGACATGGACGAGTGCGTATATTTCTTGATATTTCTTATTTTTAATTTTTGACCCATTTTATTTATATTATTCATATTCGTTTTTTAGTCATATGAATCCTATTACCCTAGTTATTACGCGCCTACCGTGTATATGCCAGTACTTCAGAGGCCTCCGATGCAAGTGACTCATCATATGCAACCAACTGTTTCTTCATATACACCACCTGGTCCAAAAAACCACGCTGTCAAAATCATTAACCCTGCTGATAGATCAGTTGTAGTTCCGTCAATTCAACATAATCCCCATGTCGTTCAAGCTGCAAAAAAAGAAGAAGCTCCTACGCCTACAGTTTTCGATGCTAAAAGAATTGATGATTCAACCACCAAAGAGAAGGAACAAGCTTCCGATAATGAAAAAAAAGAGTCAAAGGCTGTACGTATAGTTGATCCGATTGAAAGAGATAAAATAGAGCGCGAAAAAAGAGAAAAGGAGCGTGAGGAGAATGAGCGCAAAGAGCGAGAAGAAAAGGAAAGATTGGAAAAGGAGAAAAAGGAACGCGAAGAAAAGGAAAGGCTAGAACGCGAGGAGAAAGAAAGAAAGGAACGTGAAGAGAAGGAACGTAAAGAACGTGAAGAGAAGGAAAGAAAGGAACGTGAAGAGAAGGAACGCGAGGAAAGGGAACGAAAGGAACGTGAGGAAAGGGAACGCAGGGAACGTGAGGAAAGGGAACGCAGGGAACGTGAGGAAAAAGAGCGAAAGGAACGTGAGGAAAAGGAGCGAAAGGAACGTGAGGAGAAAGAGCGTAAGGAACGTGAGGAACAGGAGCGTAAGGAACGTGAGGAACAGGAGCGTAAGGAACGTGAGGAACGTGAGGAAAAGGAGCGAAAAGAGCGTGAGGAAAAAGAACGTAAGGAACGCGAGGAAAAGGAGCGCAAGGAACGTGAGGAAAAGGAACGCAAGGAACGTGAAGAGAAAGAAAGAATGGAAAGAGAGAGGTTAGAACGGGAAGAGAAAGAACGACGGGAACGTGAAGAGGCGGAACAAAGAGAGAAAGAACGATTAGAACGTAATGCACAAGAAGAACGTGAAAGGATTGAAAAAGAAGAAATGGAACGTCAAATTTCCGAAAAAAAGAAAAAAGAGGCCGAAGAGGAAGAAAAGAA